CCCTCGTGCGCCCTACCTTACGTGCGCCCTCGTGCGCCCCCGTGCGACCCGCCCTTCGGTCTGCCCGCGTGCCGTCCTGCAGCCCTCGCGCTGCCTCCTGCAAGCTAGTACGGCCCTCGAGCCGCCCCTGCAGGTCCGTCAGGCCCCCGAGCCGCCTCTGCAGACCCGTCAGGCCCCCCCCGAGCCGCCTCTGCAGGCCCGTCAGGCCCGAGAGCCGCCCCTGCAGCCAGCGCGCTGCCCTGCCGAGCCGCGTGTCGCCCGTGGGCGCTGCCTCTGCCCCGTCGCGCTGCCCTGGGGAGCCGCGCGCGACCCCCGCTGTCCCGTCGCGTCGCCCTGGGGAGCCGCGCTCGGCCCCCGCTGCCCTGTCGCGACGCCCTGGGGAGCCGCGCTCGGCCCCCGCTGCCCTGTCGCGACGTCCTGGGGAGCCGCGCTCGGCCCCCGCTGACCCGTCGCGACGCCCTAGGGAGCCACGCGCGACCCCCCCGCTGCCCCGTCGCGACGCCCTGGGGAGCCGCGCGCGGCCCACCCCCCCCCCCCCCCCCCCCCCCCCCGCTGCCCCGTCGCGGCGCCCGCGCGCCGCCCCCCCCCCCCCCCCCCCCCTCGCTGCTGCCCGAGCCACCCTGCAGCCCGCGAGCCGCCTCTACAGCGCCGAGTGCGCTCTGCCAAACCCTAAAATAAATAATTAATTATTAAAAAAAAAAAAAAAAAAAAAGGGAGCAGCTGCCTCTGGCCCCTGGAGCAGCCGCCCCTGGAGCAGCCGCCCCTGCAGCAGCCGCCCCTGCAGCAGCTGCCCCTGCAGCAGCCGCCCCTGGACCTCTGCAGCCGCCCCTGGCCCCTGGAGCAGCCGCCCCTGCAGCTGCCGCGGAGCCCTCGCCCTGCAGTGGTAGCGGCCTCGCCGTTACCACCGTCGTACGCCTGCCCTTCTCGCCACTGGTGAGCACTGCCCTGCCCGTATTGCTGTTACTGCTGCTCCTGCTGCTACTGCTCTTTCTACTTCTACTGCTGCTCCTGGCGTGGCCAGATGCAGCTCCAGCGCCGTCCGCGTGAGTCCCTCACGCCCCAACAGCTTCGTGAGTGGTATGCTGGTTGGGGTTGTAGGGGTGGCCGCGCTGCTGCTACTACTACTGCTGCTACTACTGCTACTGCTGCTCCTGGCGGTGGCCAGATGCAGCTCCCGCGACGTCCGAGTGAGTCCCTCACGCCCCAGCAGCTTCGTGAGTGGTACGCTCAGCGTGGAGGGTCACGGGGTACTGCTCGCTGCCCGTACGTCATTCGCACTGGTGCTCGGACTGGTCAGCCTTGCGGGACGTTTGGTCACACAGAGTCCCGCTGCTTCGCCCGTCTGAGCGACGCCTGGCGTACACAGTTTGGCGACGCGGCTGAGCTCCTCTATTGGGTGGAGCTGCTTAGGCAGAGGGTAGATATCTATGCTCTTGACTATGATGCTATCCTCACTGCCATGTATGCATTTCCTACTAGTGCTGAGAGTGCCTGTCACCTGTGTGTGCCGCCTGACCCCGGTATCCAGTCTGCTGCTCTAGGTACTGGTGAGGCTGCTGCACTAGGTGCTCGTGTGTTTGTTGCCCCAGGTGCTGGTGAGGCTGCTGCTCTAGGTACTCGTGAGTCTGCGCCCTCTGGTACTGCGTCTACTGAGGCACTGCACACCTTCACACTGGACTCAGGCGCTTCCCGCTGTTTCTTTCGTGACCGCACTGCCCTTGAGCAGCTTGCTCGGCCGGTTGCAGTCTCCCTCGCTGACCCCTCTGGGGGTCCGGTCATTGCGACCTCCTCTACTGTTCTCCCTTGTCCTGCGGTCCCGTCGGGCACTCTGTCAGGTCTCTACCTCCCCTCGTTCTCTACGAACTTGGTGGCGGGTAGTGCGCTCCAGGACGGGGGTGTCCACCAGTTTACCCCTGCCTACGAGCGTGTGACACACTGCACGTGCGCTCGGACGGGCCGCCACCTGGCTACCTTCACTCGGCAGCCGGGGTCGGACCTGTACACACTGACCACTGAGTCCCCACAGGTAGCTGCGTCTGCGTCTGCGTCAGGTCAGCTGTCTGCCCCCTGCTCGTGTCGCTCTCTGGCACACGAGACTGTCCTCTGGCACCACCGTCTTGGTCACCCGTCAGTGCAGCGCCTTCGTGCCATGCACAACCGGTACCTTGTCTCTGGTCTTCCCAGGGTTCTCCCTCCACTCCCACCCTCGCCTGCTCCTCCCTGCCTTCCCTGTGTCGAGGGGCGGCAGCGCGCCGCTCCTCACTCCTCCTCGTTTCCCCCGACGACTGCTCCCTTGCAGACGCTCCACATGGACGTGTGGGGCCCAGCCCGCGTCCGTGGACAGGGTCAGGAGAGGTACTTCCTGATCGTTGTTGACGACTACTCGCGCTACACCACGGTCTTCCCCTTGCGCACCAAGGGTGAGGTCCCTGATGTTTTGATCCCTTGGATCCGCGCTTCTCGTCTCCAGCTCAGTGAGCGGTTCCACTCGGACTTTCCTGTCCTGCGTCTGCACTCTGACAGAGGTGGTGAGTTCTCCTCTGACCTCTTGGCAGCCTACTGTGCGGAGCACGGCATCCGCCAGTCGTTCACGCTTCCGGCCTCTCCACAGCAGAATGGGGTTGCTGAGCGCCGCATTGGTTTGGTCATGGAGGTCGCTCGTACCTCCTTGATCCATGCGGCTGCCCCCCACTTTCTGTGGCCGTTTGCGGTCCGATACGCTGCGCATCAGCTCAACCTCTGGCCTCGTGTCTCCGTTCCGGAGACTTCGCCGACACTGCGTTGGACGGGAGAGGTTGGCGATGCGTCGCGTTTTCGGGTCTGGGGATCCCGAGCTTTTGTTCGCGATACGTTCGCGGACAAGCTCTCCTCCCGCGCTGTTCCCTGTGTCTTCCTTGGCTTTGTCCCGGACGCGTCTGGTTGGCAGTTTTACCACGCCACCTCGCGCCGTGTCCTGCCCTCTCAGGACGTCACTTTTGACGAGTCCGTGCCCTACTACCGCCTCTTCCCCTACCGCACTGCCCCGCTCCCCCCCCGCCTCTCTTCCTCACGCCAGGTGCTGCTGTGGTAGACCCCCTCCCCCCTCAGGGTGCCGCTCCCTCAGGTGTGTCCCAGGTAGACCCGGTTGAGCCTGTCGAGGTAGCTGTCGACTCTCGTCCTGCCAGGGGTGCTGAGCCTGAGCGTGCGGAGCCTGGGGTTGCGGAGTCTGGGGGTGCTGAGCCTGGGGGTGCGGGGTCTGGGGGTGCGGAGCCTGCGGGTGCTGAGTCTGGGGGTGCTGAGCCTGGGGGTGCGGAGCCTGCGGGTGCTGAGTCTGGAGGTGCTGAGCCTGGGGGTGCTGAGCCTGGGAGTGCTACGTCTGAGAGTAGACCGGAGCGCGAGTTACCAACCGAGCTGAAAGGTTGGGTCGCGATGTGAACAGTAGCGGGAACAGAAGTCGAGGCAACTGTCTGCTGTATCAACAATTTTTTCTAATGTTTGTTTTTTCGGATAGATTGTTTTAGAAGACAATCCGTAGTTATTTCTAGTTTTTTTTTTCCTTTTTTCAAAAATCATGTTCTAAAAAGAAATCAATAACGGTTTACTGTTGGGTACTGTTGGCGGGAACAATCGTGCACGCGGTAAGCAGCGGCGCAAAGTAAGGAAAATGAAATTTCCTTACACTACCCCCCTCCCCAAGGGAGGCCTCCCTTACGGAAGTGCGTACACGTCGCGGAAATTTCGGTTGCGTAGATACTCGATTAGGACAGGGTGGTTCTCGGTTTTGTCCATGGGTACCCCTGTGGGCGTGCGATCCTTCCAGCGAATCAGGAACTCGATCTTGCGTGCTCCACGTGGGTCGTGAACATGGTGGCTCGGTATTTTTTTGGGCTCATAATTGGTTCGGTTGCCGGGCGTGTCATGCTTGACGGGCGGCTGCGTGACATCTAACTTGTTAACGGGAAGTAGGGGCAGAGGATGCTGACGTGGAAGGATGGCTGACGTACCAGTCAGCAGGTAGGAGGAGGTGGGCAGTGGCGGGTGTAATCTTGTGGCTGGTGCGAAACAGCCCGCAATATCGTCGGCGTGATTTGGGGTGATGGGCAGGCGGAGGTTCTGGGTGTCGAGGAGTACGAGGTCGTCGGGTTGATAAGTGACGGGTCGGCGGTGGCGATCAGCGTTGCGCTTTGTCAAGATACTAACGTAAGGTTTAGGGCCTAGGCTTAGGAGCCTAGGCCAACGTATGTCGAGAGAATTGTGGCCAAGCGAAGCGAGAATGGTTGGGTTCACTATAGCACACAAGGTACATATAGCAAACTAGCAAAGGTGCACCACCAAACAAGCAATTAACGAACTACACTACAATAACTACAGCAAGCAAGATAGATATTAAATATAACTTCAACACACCCCCTTAGCCTGCTTGCAGGAATAACTAGTGCAATCGACACCCCCTGAAGGGGTACACCTGGCGCAGTGGAAGACGGCAGAGAGTTAAATGAGGAGGAGGAGGCGAGAGGGAGAGAGGAGAGGAGAGGGGAGAAGTACGAAGAAGGAGGTGAGAGAGGGATGAGGCGAGGAGTTGAGGGGGAGCCACCCGTGGCGAAACACTCGTAGTAACCCCCTTTTACAAAGGGGGGAGGTGAGAGAGTGACGAGGAGAGGAGTATGAAGAAACTGAGTGGAATGATTGACTAGGAAATGAGTTGGATACAAATATGAAACCCTAGGAAACTGTACCCCATAGTGTATACCCCACTACAGCCTAGAAAGACTATAGCATAAATGTTTGACACACCCCCATAAGCAAAGTGGGGGAGAACAAGGGGTCACAAGACCAGTCAAGCAAGGCAAGCTCAGGGTGGATCACAACGTCACCACACATTCCGAGCACAAGTTCAAAGGCCACAAGGCCAGTTCACATGCAAGATTATATATCAAGGTGAACAAGCAAGACAGTGATCGCAACCTAGCAAAGGTAAACAGGCAGGTGCAGGTATATATAGATCACAGTACAAAGCAAAGTCAAGAGGTAAGCAAGTGAGGCCAGGTAGGCACAAGACCTAACATAGTACAGAAGCGCTGATGATCACAAGGCTGAAGTGCCTTGGTAAAGATATCAGCAGTGTTGGCCGGTGAGGCCACGTAAGCAAGGCGCAGCTGACCACGCTGCTGCAGCTCACGTGCAAGGAAGTAGCGAAGAGCAATGTGCTTCGTTCTGTGCTCCAGTCTGTGCTCCTGACACAAGGCCAGCATGGCCTTGTTGTCTACGTACAGAACTGGAGGAGAACGAGGCGACTCTTCCAGGTCGGTCAGCAGGTAGGTGAGCCAGCGTAAATCCTGTGCAGCCATGGCCCCTGCGTAGATCTCAGCCTCACAGCTGGAGCTGAGAACAGAAGACGAGCGGGTAGACCGCCACGAAACAGAGCCGGAACCAAGGCTGAAGGTGTAACCCTGAGACGACCGCTGCGTAGCCAAGTCGTCAGCCCAAGAAGCGTCTGCGTGACCAGTGAGGACCACTGGACCTCGCCCTCCAAGCACGAGCCCCATGCCCGACGTACTGCACAAGTAGCGCAACACCCTCTTAGCAGCATCCATGTGCTCCTTCCTGTGTCGGCCAGGAGCGACATAGCGTGCTAGGATGCTAAGAGGGTATGCAAGGTCAGGTCGAGTGCAGGTCATCAGGTACATGAGGCAGCCCACAAGCTCTGGATACGGGCCACTCGGCTCTACGGACTCATCCGAAGGCAGAGCTGAGAGCGAGTGGCGAGTAGACAGAGGAGTGGCCTGAGGCGAGGAGTACGTGAAGCGGAAGCACTGAAGGACCTGCTGCACCATGTGTGAGTGAGTCAAGGTAATGGTGCGCTGTGCTCTGTCCCGGGTGATCCGCAAGCCAAGATAGCTTGTCAGCTCACCCAGGTCTGTGCACGTGTGTCTCTTCTGCAGTTCCGACTTCACGTGGGCGAGTGCCTCAGTGTCAGCAGTGGCAAAGACCAAGTCGTCTACGTACACGAGAACGTAGAACGGCGGCAGAGAGGTGTCGGTAAGTAGAAACAGCGACGGGTCAGCGGTAGAAGGAGCAAACCCAAGAGCAGCAAGAGTCGTCCTCAGTGTGTCGTGCCACTCACGGGGTGCCTGGCGGAGACCGTAGACTGGCCGCTGGAGGCTCCACTGGGTACCAGGAGGAAACGACCCAGTGAAGCCAGGTGGGCGGCGCAGCCAGATCTCCTCGTGCAGGCTGCCCTGTAGGAAAGCAGTGCTGAAGTCAAGAGAGTGGAGCTCGTAGTCACGCTGAGCGGCGACGTGCAGCAGAACCCAAAGAGTGGTCATCTTCGGGGTAGGGGAGAAGGTCTGGAAGAAGTCAACTCCCTCACTCTGACTGAAGCCTCGTGCAACGTAACGCGCCTTGAAGACAGGCGCAGAACCCGGTGGCCGCTTCACCCTGAAAATCCACATGCCACTGACGATGTTCGCCCCAGGCGGGGGAACCTCGTCGACGTAGGTGCCTGTGGACTTCCAGGAAGCCATCTTTGCGTCCATGGCTGACTGCCACTGAGAGGAGTAGGGACCCTCTATCGCCTCTACGTAAGAGCGCGGGGTCGGGATGTCTGGTGCATCCGGGTCTCCCTCAGGGGCAATCAGCATGGACACGAGATGAGGAAAAGCAGCGGCAAAGCACTCAAACTCCTCGTGTCTGTCCTCAAGGACGTCCGTGCTAAGAGCACACTCACCCCCGACGGACGGAGGACAGACAGACTCAGACTCAGCAACAAGGCTAGCGGCGTAGTCTAGACGACAGGCGGTAGCAAAGTTAACAAGCTCAGCAACTAGAGCAGACGTAGAAGTGGACTCAAAGGAAGGGTCAGTGACAACAGTGGCGAGGAAACGCGTGACAGTAGGACTAGCAGCACGAAGGGAGTCAGACTCCGGGTCTGGACCGTCAGGAAGAGAGGACACAGGAGGAGACGGCAGAGGGACACGCTGTGGAGCAGTGGAAGGACGCAGAGTCATATAGTGAGTGCCAGGGACAGGAGGAGGACGCTCACGCGGAACACGACGACCAGTGCGGACAGCGCGGACAGGCGACTCTGGACGAGACTCAGGCGACGCAGGACGAGACTCAGGCTCACGACGCTCCGTAAGACCCCTAGTCGGTCCGGCGTAAGGAGAAGGACCAGGCAGTGGAGAGGCTGGCTGTAACCGTGACTGCAACTGGACAGGCGGTGGACTCAGTAGGGGAGCGGTAGGACCAGCAGAGGGCGGGAGGCCAAGAACCTGCTGAAGGAGCGGAACGTAGTACGGCCGCGGCCGTGCAGCGGCTCCTGAACCAGCAGAGACAGCACCAGCACCCTCAGCTCCAGGGTCACCAGCCACAACTCCCGCAGCACCACCAGCAGCTCTAGCAGCTCCTGCACCAGTAGCAGCTCCAGCAGCGCCAGCACCAGCAGCACCTCCAGCAGCTCCAGCACCAGCAGCAGCTCCAGTTGCGCCAGCACCAGCAGCACCTCCAGCAGCTCCAGCACCAGCATCACCTCCAGCAGCTCCAGCACCAGCAGCACCTCCAGCAGCTCCAGCACCAGCAGCACCTCCAGCAGCTCTAGCACCAGCAGCACCTCCAGTAGCACCACCAGTAGCTCCAGCACAAGCAGAACCTCCAACAGCACCAGCACCAGCAGCACCTCCAGCAGCTCCAGCACCAGCAGCACCTCCAGCAGCTCCAGCACCAGCAGCACCTCCAGCAGCAGGCCCCCCAGCTCCAGCACCACGGCTACAGCGCCGAGCGTACCACTCACGAAGCTGCCATGGAGAGAGGGGCTCCGTTCGCGACGGGACACTCGGAGGACCTCCAGTCTCAGCACCCCCAGGCGCAGCACCCCCAGACTCAGCAACCCCAGGCTCAGCACCCCCAGGCTCAGCACCCCCAGGCTCAGCACCCCCAGACCCGGCACCCGCAGGCTCAGCACCCATAGAAGCACTAGAGTCAACAGCTACCTCAACAGGCTCGACTGCGTCTACCTGAGACACACCTGAGGGGGCAAGACCCTGAGGGGGGAGGGGGTCTACCGGAGGAGTACCTGGCGCGAGGAAGAGCGGCGGGGGGGGGAGGGGGGCAGTGCGGTAGGGGAAGAGACGGTAGTAAGGAACCGACTCGTCAAACGTGACGTCCTAAGAGGACAGAACACGGCGCGAGGTGGGTGGTAAAACTGCCAACCAGGCGCGTCAGGGGGGAAGCCAAGGAAGACGCAGGGAACGGCACGGGAGGACAGCTTGTCCGCAGACAAGTCGCGGACGAAAGCTCGAGATCCCCAGACACGGAACGCAAACGCATCGCCAACCTTCCCCGTCCACCGCAGAGTGGGGGTGGTCTCCGGTATGGAGACCCGGGGCTGGAGGTTGATCTGATGCGCCGCGTACTGAACCGCGAACGGCCACAGAAAATGGGGAGCAGCCGCATGGATCATGGACGTACGAGCGACATCCATGACCATGCCAATGCGGCGCTCAACAATCCCATTTTGCTGTGGGGAGGCCGGAAGCGTGAACGTCTGGCGGATGCCCTCCGCCCGACAGAAAGCTCGCAGAAGGTCGGAGGAAAACTCTCCACCTCTGTCTGAGTGCAGACGCACAACAGAAAAGTCCGAGCCGAAACTCTCTCTGACCTGGAGACGAGCAGCGCGGATCCAGTCGATCAACACCTCAGTGACCTCACCCTTGCGGCGCAAGGGGAAGACCGTGGTGTAACGCGAGTGGTCGTCAACAACCAGCAGGAAGTAACGCTCGTGATCCTGTCCACGGACGCGGGCTGGGCCCCACACGTCCATGTGAAGAGTCTGCAGGGTAGCCTCTGTCGGAGGAAACTCGGAGGAGTGAGGAGCGGCGTGCTGCCGGCCCTCGACGCAGGGAACGCAGGTAGGGGCAGGCCCCAGAGGAAGGGGAGGGAGGGAAGGGGGGAGACCTGAGACAAGGACACGGGAGGCCATGCCTCTGAGACGAGGCAGGGAGGGGTGACCAAGGCGGTGGTGCCAAAGGAGAGTCTTGTGAGACAGGAGGCAACACGAGCAGGGGGCAGACTCAGGCCCAGACCGGGACGCTGCAGCAAACACCTGACCCGACGCGGCTACCTGACCAGTCGCAGTGACAGGAGGAGACTCAGTGGTAAGGGTGCACAGGCTGGACCCTGGCCGACGGGTGAACGTGGCCAGGTGACGGCCCGTCCGAGCACACGTGCAGTGCGTCACACGCTGATAGGCAGGGGTGAACTGGTGAACACCCCATCCTGGAGATCAGCACCCGCCACCAAGTTCGCCGAGAACGAGGGGAAGTGAAGACCAGACAGCGAGCCGGACGGGGCCGCTGGACACGGGAGAACAGTGGAGGAACGGGCCACAACTGGTCCCCCCAGAGGGATCAGCCAGAGAGACTGCCACCGGCCGACTGAGCGGCGAGAGTGTGGTGCAGTCGCGAAAGAAGGAGCGGGAAGCACCCGAGTCAAGGGTGAAAGTGTGCAAGACCTGAGCCGACGCGGTACCTGAGAGAGCAGCCTCACCAGCACCTGGAGGAGCAGACTCACTAGCACCTAGAGCAGCAGCCTCAATGCCCGGGTCGGGCGGAACACATAGGTAACAGTCACCCTCAGCACTAATAGACACAGCATACATAGCAGCAAGGATAGTATCATAGTCAAGATCAAAGATAGCAACCCCCGACCTAAGCAGATCACCCCAGCGAGGGATCTCAGTGGAGCCAGGGAACTGTGCACGCCAGGCGTCAGTCAGGCGGCCGAAACAGCGTGGGGTGGTGTGCGGGCCACCGCACGTCTCTCCACTGCGGTCGCCGGTGCGAAGAACGTAGGTGCAGGGACCAGCACCCCCAGACCTCCCACGCCCAGCGTACCACTCACGAAGCTGCTGAGGCGACGGGGTCTCACGGGAGCGCTGCTGCTGCTGGCGCTGGCCACCGCTAGAGCCTCCCCGCTGCCCACCACCGCCACCGCCACCCCCAACTCCACCGCCGCCGCCGCCACCTCCACCCCCACTCCCGTTGCCTCCGCCGCCTCCACCTCCACCGCCGCCACCGAAGCCCCCACTCCCGCCACCACTCCCACCTCCACCCCCACCCCCTCCTCCACCGCCACCACCGCCGCCCCCTCCATCCCCTCCACCCCCCTTGCCCCCCTTGCCCTTGCCGTAGCGGCGCTTCCCACTAGGGGTAGACGCAGTGCCGACCGACTCGGTGCCAACGAGGTCGACAGCAGCAGCAGAGGCAACAGAGGGCAAAAGAGGGACGGGGGAGCACCCCTCAAAGAAAGGGGCACGAGGGTCACCACGAGAGGCTCCTACAGCGACTATACTCTTCTCAGCTGCAAGGAGGCGCTCCTCGAGGAGGTCAACGGTGAGTGTGGTGGGGCAAAGGGAGAGGAAGTGGTCCCTGACCGAGCGAAGGGAGTCAGGGAGCCGGGTGACGAGGTAGTAGAGAGTGATGTACATAGGGGGGGGGGTTCGCGGCGCAGAACTTGGCAGGAAGCGCAGCGCGGTAGCGGGTGTCACTAGTGCGGAGGTGCGTAATGAGGTCAGCGACTGTGGCAAAAGCGGTGAGGTCAGGGAAAAGGTACGGTAGCATGAGGCGGCTAAGGGCAGCAGTGGCAGGGGAGGAGTAGCGCGCAACAACAGCAGTGTATAGAGTGCTAGCAGTCTTGTACTGGCTAACGTGTGCGCGCTCAGCAGACGGCAGGTGACTACGGATAGCAAGACGGGCAGCAGCATCGCGCGTGGTCCACTGTGAGCGAACAGTACTATCAGCATCGGCAGCAAGGGTTGTACGGGCGCCAGACGTGAGATCGAACAGGGAGATACCGTCCTTGCTATCACACTGTAGAAAGAGCTGCAGGTCATCGACCCAGACCTCAAAATCGACCGCGCGACCCTCAGCATCGAAGGTAAGAACATTGGGACTAGCCATGACAGCAGCAGTAGTAGCAGTGCGACTCGGCTAAACGGCGCGCCTCGGCAGGGCGGCGCGGTTCGGCAGTGCGCTTACCAAAGGCGGGTGGGTAGGGAGGCCGCGACTGGTGGGGCAGGGCCGTGGTGCGCCGGCAGGATCGGGGCCTCGACGGGGCGGCAGGGCAGGGCCGCGGCTCGGCTGCAGGGCAGGGCCGGGGCGGCAGCAACGGCAGCGGCGGCGGCGGCTTGGCACACCGGTTTCTGCAGGTTCGGCGGCGGCAGCAGGGACGACGGGTCGACGCCTGGGGTCGAGAAGGGCCGCGCCGAAGGCAGGGCGGGCGGCGTAGGGCCGCGACGGGCCGCGACAGGTGACGGGGCCGCGACGGGCGACGGGGCCGCGACAGGCGGCGGGCCGCGATAGGCGAAGGGGCGGGGCCGCGAAGGGGCCGCAAAAGGGCCGCGACGGGCCACAGTAGCAGGGCAGGCCGCTAAGGGGCCGCGAAAGGGTTAGAGGGCAGGGCCGCAACAGCGGCAGCAGGGTAGAGCGCGAAGCGCGCTTCGGGGAAGGTAAAAAAAAAATTCGATGGTGGGCCCTAGGAAGAAATGGTCCCACTAGGGAACCTGCTCTATACCATGTGAAGAAACTGAGTGGAATGATTGACTAGGAAATGAGTTGGATACAAATATGAAACCCTAGGAAACTGTACCCCATAGTGTTTACCCCACTACAGACTAGAAAGACTATAGCATAAATGTTTGACAAGGAGGTGGGGGGCAGCCAAGCACGGCGAAACCCCTCTTAGTAACCCCCAAATCCCCACACCCATTCAACCACCCCCCCTTAACCTCACCCCCCATAACAGCCGCCCCCTTGGACCGCACCCCCCCCCCCCCTCCTTCCTTCCTCCACACCCCTGCCCCACCCACGGTAGTCCCTGCAGCGGGGTCTCTGCTGGCGGTGTAGCTGCTGGCAGGGTCTCTGCTGGCGGGGTCTCTGCTGGCGGGGTCTCTGCTGGCGGGGTCTCTGCTGGCGGGGGTCTCTGCTGGCGGGGTCTCTGCTGGCGGGGTCTCTGCTGGCGGGGTCTCTACTGGCGGGGACTCTGCTGGGGGGGGTCTCTGCTGGCGGGGGTCTCTGCTGGCGGGGTCTCTGCTGGCGGGGTCTCTGCTGGCGGGGTCTCTGCAGGCGGGGTCTCTGCTGGCGGCGTCTCTGCTGGCGGGGTCCTCTGCTGGCGGGGTCTCTGCTGGCGGGGTCTATGCTGGCGGGGTCTCTGCTGGCGGGGGTCTCTGCTGGCGGGGTCTCTGCTGGCGGGGTCTCTGCTGGCGGGGGTCTCTGCTGGCGGGGTTTCTACTGGCGGGGTCTCTCCTGGCAGGGTCTTTGCTGGAGGGGTCTCTGGGGTCTCTGCTGGCGGGGTCTCTGCTGGTGGGGTTTCTGCTGGCGGGGTCTCTGCTGGCTGGGTCTCTGCTTGCGGTGGCGCTGCTGGCGGGGTCGCTGCTGGCGGTTCCGCGTGTTCGCTTGCTGGCGGGCTTGCGGGTCGCGTACGATCTGGAGCGTGCAGTGGCGGAGCCGTAGCTTCTCCCGCCATTCCCGCCACGCCCGCCATTCCCACCACTCCCTTCACAGCAGCTGCGAAGTCGACGGGAGGGCGGGCGGGGACGGAGCGGGACGGGACGAAACGCGGGCTGGCGCTGATGCTCAAGTGACGGCCGCCACCCCTTTCCCCTTCTCCTCTCCCCCCCCCACTGCGACCATCGATGTTTCCACGCCAGGGAGCCGCGACGAGGCAGCGTGATGGGGAACGCAGTGGCGGGTCGAGGGGCCGACGGGGGGGAAGAGCGGCGGCGCGAAACAGCGGGTCAACGAGCGCCGTCACTCCCGCCGCGACCGTTGCGTCTGTCACGACTACCGTGACGGATTTTGCTACGGGCGAGCGACGGGGAGGGACGGACGGAGCCGTGATTTGCTGCTTGACGGGATGCTCCATCGCGAAAGCTAACGGTGGGCCCTTAGGAAATTAGGTCGGGAACGACCTAGCTCAATACCATGTCAAGATACTAACGTAAGGTTTAGGGCCTAGGCTTAGGAGCCTAGGCCAACGTATGTCGAGAGAATTGTGGCCAAGGGAAGCGAGAATGGTTGGGTTCACTATAGCACACAATGTACATATAGCAAACTAGCAAAGGTGCATCACCAAACAAGCAATTAACGAACTACACTACAATAACTACAGCAATCAGGAGAGATATTAAATATAACTTTAACACGCTTAGCTCTGACATTTGATGTTTTTATGGCGCCTGCTGCTCAGATCTCGGCTGCTTGCAATATTTCGGGGAACTGCTGCGCGCGTGGGACTCGTTTGTCAGGATTATGCGTCATGGGGACTGTGGGATTCTGTCCATAGTTGAGGTAGAACGGCGACTGCTTGGTCATGGCTGACGTTAAGTTGTTTGTCAAATGTTATACATTATATTGACAGGCTATAGTGACTAGGGCTGTAGGGAGTACAACACTTTCTAGGTTTAGCATTTGTATCTCCCACCTTGCTAGTCATAATCATTCCACTATGCATCACTCTTGAGATGGTATCATGAGTAGGTACGCTCCTAGCCTAGCCTAGCCTAGCCTAGTACCGCTCCACCGCTCTGTAGTCGCTCCGTCGCTCCGTAATTGCCTAGCCTACATAGCGCGCGCCACCCAGCAGAAAAACGCGCGCCCGTGCTCTGCCTTAGGCTGCCTCGTTCTCTACCTTAGGCTGCCCCGCGCTCTGCCTTAGGCTGCCCCCCGCTCCGCCTTAGGCTGCCCCGCGCTCTGCCTTAGGCTGCCCCGCGCTCTGCCTTATGCTGCCTTAGGCTGACGCGCACTGCCTTAGGCGGCCACGCACTTCCATAGGCAGCGCGCCCCGCAGGCAGCGCGCCTTGCAGGTAGCGCCCCCCGCATGTATCGTTCCCAGCAGGTAGCGCGCACCGCAGGTAGCTCGCCCAGCAGGTATCGCGCACACAGGTAGCGTGCCCCGCAGGAATCGTGCCCCGTAGGTAGCGCG